TCCTCTGCAACAAATGAAAGAACATTTTCAAATTTAAAAAGAATTAAAACATATCCATGTCAGAGGTAAATTTATATGAACTTAAAAAATATTCTTGTTATTTACATTTATTTATTTTTTTGTTTATAGGGAAGATTGAACGGTTTAGCGATGTTATCAATAAATAAAAACTACTCAATAAAACCGGAAGAAGTTATTGAAGAACTGGCGAGAAAAAAAAGACGTTTACCTTATTATAAAAAACTCTTAATTTGTATTAATAAATCATAATAGTAGTGAAATTTACATAATATAATATAATTATTACATCATAACTCGTATGTGTTTTTTTTATATTATAAACTTGTAGGTACCTAATATTTAGACCCCCCCCCCGCAAAAAATTTGAAAATACGCCACTGTCGGTACCTATATCGTGAGAAAAGAGTATAATCAAATAGTTTAAGAAATGACAGTAGATAATTGAGTATATTATAAGTATATTAAATTACTATACACTTATTTATTTTACCTATTTCTATATGTACTTCGGGAATATTATCTTCCATAATTACTACTTCATCAACATGCCAACATTATAGTATACATTAAATGAATTTGGTTAGTAGATAGGTAGGTAAGTAAATTAATTTATACCAAAATTATAGTTTGGAGTAGGTTAGGATATAACCATTAATAACAAAACATAATGAAATATTACCATCGCTCAGAATGGATCCATCAGAACCACTAACATCAAACAATAATTGTGGCCCCTGTATTAAAATAACAGAAATTTCACCATAAGAATCACTATTGTTCTTGTTCTCAACGTGCTGGGTTATGTTTTTAGGTTCGTTATGATCTATTAACATTATCAAGTGCAAATTGTTTTATATCTTGGACTTGCTACTTATTGAGAATATAATAAACAATAACCAAAAATGTTGTAAAAAACTTATGGCATTAATCAAATTATTACAACTCACAAATAATAAAGCTAATAATTTGTTTTCAATACATTTATGTTATTGTTACCTTGTTCAATGTTAATGTGCCAATTTATTTCTTCTCTTAAGTAACATTCAGCACAATGTGAAGATTGAAGTAAAAATTCTTTGACATTTATAACTCTAAGCTCCAACTGTGTAGTTGCTGTTTGAATGCGTACAGAATTTAATAAGTACTTTATTTCTACTAGACGTGATACTCGTTGACCTCTTACCAACTGTTTAATAATTACACGATTTTTCAAACTTAGGCATTCCAAGTGATCTAAATCAAAAATTTAATTCAAAATGAGTTTTTGATTTTTTTTTTTTAAATATATGAAATGGGATTTTTTCCTACAAAAAACTCAATAAGACAGACTATAATGAATATTATGCTGATAATAAGAGTTATACATAATACGTGTCATGCATAATTTCAGTGGTTTAACTCACCTAAAAATGTCCATAAATTTGGGTGAAGACTTTGGAATTTTTCTTTCAGTCCACTGTGTAAAGACTCTATATTATTATTTGTTCTTCGAGGAACACCACACACTGAAAACACTTCTGGTTTTCTTGTACGTAACCAATAACTACAAATATATACACATTTAATTTAAGTTATACAACTATACAGACAAATGTTATACTCACTTGGAAAAATATTTAAAGAAGAACACGAGATTTACATTATTATCCCTTGCATACCTAATTGACTGGTAACCTTCATCAATTAAACTGGGTTTGAAACAATGCTAATGCAGACGTCATTTTAATATAAATCTGCGCTTCTTGGTAATTTTTTACGTAATTTGAAAACCCATTACTTTTAAGATTCTTGACAAGACACTAGAAAGTAGTCTTCACAATAAATAAAGTAATATTTTATTTCAGTAAATACTAGTGAAACAAACAAGCATGTTGAACACTCTCAGGATAAATAATGCTGAATGCGTTTTTAAGGCGATTTCATAATCGGTCATAATAAATTGTGGTTGAATAGCCGGAAACATGGTGTAACGAGACAAAACGGGGAGCTCCGTTACCGTGGCGCACTCTCGTTACTAACTACCTATTCCCGCGTATCGAACACCGCTAAGCACTCTCGCAACTAAATCCAACATCATCACCACGGAACGCGAAGATCGCCGACCACGACGCGCAGCACAGCGCTTGAGGGAGCGCCCTCCCTTTTCGACGGTGCGCCGCCCGAGTTGGGAAGTTCATTTTCTCGCCGAACCCTTTCACTTAAAACCCTTATGATTACATATTTGGAATCAGCATCGTACAAACTAGCTAGGACGTATTTCCAATGGGTTATAAGCTCAAGAGAAAAAACCAAATTACCAAAAACACGTTTCACATTTATCACATCAGTCGAAGGCCAAGAGTAATATAAGTATAGCCAGAACTACGACCAAAAAGATATACTCCCCGCTGAGTGCGGTAGACTAGTGAGCCGGACGGTATTAAAACACCGTTATACACGGACACCAATCACCAAACATAACAGCACTGCCTCCCCCCCCAGACCGAGTAAGCCGGACGGTAGTAACGCACCCCGGCTTTCATTTCCGCCACGAACTACCGTGTGCCGCGAAACGCTTGTCGTCACTTTTTGTGCCGGATACCCTGCGAGACGAATACCACAGCACGCCGCCAGAAGAGCAGAGCCAGTCGCTATCAGTCAACTCCAACACGTTTTATATAAGCCATTCACGCCGGTAAACAACTATCAAAGTGTTACCCTGCCACTGTATGCGCTCCTGTCCATGTATGCACATCGCCCCAAGGACGAGCCACCTTCATATCATCTACCGAACAAAAACCTAGTATAAGCTAGTTCAGTTTTTGACTCCATAAGTACATATATAACTGGAATACTGTAAAACATATTCAAAATATTAATCACTATCAAAATATTAATTCAAACTTTTGAACGTACATGGTTTTGAATAATAAAGTGCATAACAAATAGTTGACGACACTTAGGTGCCGAAGGTACTATTTTGAAAGTGGCATCTGCATGGATCTCAGATCCACCCTGTCATACAACTTCTTGAATCAGGTCCAAACATCCAAATATAATTGATGTCTTTCCATCATCATCAATTGTATGGTCTTGATAAAAGGAATGACCACAGCAAATATATCGATGTACATTAGACTCTAACATTTCTGCAAGTATCGTAGGAGGCAAAACTGGCACATTTTTCCTACGAACGTGGCTCATCGACATCTCAGCTACAGGCCAACAATATTGTACTGCAGCTCTTATATGTCTATTAAGAAAAATCAACATTATTATTAATTTGTAAAGTCATAAATTTATTTATTTTTCACTTCCATATAGTTAAAATTAAACCATAATTATTAGCATAATATTATGTTGATAACTAATACCTTATAGATTCTTCATCATAAATATCACGGAGACTTGTAGTTTCATTTACTGCTCTTTGAATCAGAATTAATCTAAATTTTTTTTTTAATTCCATGAGTTTGTTTTCCAAATTATTTGGATAATGAGAGTGAGTTGCATTATTCACTATAATGCCATCAACTAATCCTTTTGCCGAACCTTTACAATATTTCTGACAGCATACCATGTACCTTAAAATGCAAACCATATGCACCAAATGTTTCATAAGCTCAAAAACCAATTACAAATCAATTTCATTTTAATAAGTATAAGTGACTAATAATTTAATATAAATTATTTGATAGCAATAATAATTTATAAAACTTATATAACACTTCGAAGAAAAAATATTTTCGATACAAATAAAATACTACAACCCAGTAAATAACATAATATAGACAATCAGTGGTGTACTGACTTAAATATTATACATTATAGTACTATACTATAGATGGTACCGCGAAAAAATAACCCCGGAAATTTAGACCTCGAAAATACAACCCCATGAAAAAATAACCACGGAAAAAATAACCCCATATATGAGATTTTTCAAATTAAGCCCCCTCGGAGCAGTTTCTCTTATCACAAAACCATTATCACATAACCAATAATTATCACGGTCACAAAGTTTAATGCGTAATATAAAATAAATAAATAAATATGTTAAATTGTTAATATAAAATAGTTACTTAATATTACATCGTTAGATTTCATAATTTCAATAGTATTGTATTGTTTCACTTCAGTATTACACTCAGTATAAATTTGTAATACGTTGTTAAGGTTGGTAAGTCATCCAAAAAACTATAATAAAAAGTTATAAAATTAAAATTATAATAGTAGAAAAATTAGTAGAAAATGAATTAAAGTATAAATTAAAATATGTAGTGTTATTAACTATGTCCGATTATTTCACCATGGTATTAATTAGGTCTTATTTTGTATAAGTGTGGTCAGAATCAATATGAATGTAGGGAGTTTGGTCATCTCCTTTTAAATCGGCGATTATTTGATTACTAATTGTTAATGTAGGTTTATTTAATCTTTGTTCTTCTGCTGCTTGTACTCTTTGTTTTTTGATGGAATAAAACCGTAACTGTTTTTCTGCATTTTTGTTAACAGGTTCCTGATTTTCTACATTTTTTATTAAATTATTTTCTCCTTCGTACAATATGCCGACACCTGTATCAATAGAAGCGTTGATTTTTGTTAGCTGCTGGGAACTTAATGTGCTTGCTTGGGACATAAACATGTTGTAGAATTCATAAAGTTTGTTACCAATGGATTCTGTGGATACAGAAGACAGTTGTTGTGTGATTGAAATTTTCATACATACTTCATCAGTTATTAAGGGATTACATACATCAGTTCTTGGAATCACTACTTTGTACAACATCTTTGGAGGGTTTTATTAAAAAACCTCTGGATTTTATATCAATTAATGTACTAGAATCATTTGCAGAGAGTTCACGTTCACATATATTGCAATTAATAATTTTTTTTATTTTCCTAACAATAAAACCAGCTATATATATTCAACAACATCACGTGTAATTGTGTATTGTAAAGTATTCAAAAGTAAATCATCGTAATTGGATACGTCATCATCACTTGGCACATAACATATCAATGTACTCATTTTCAATTTCATTCTGTTTCTTTATGTTACTCGATACAAATAATATGGTTGTAGTATCTTGAGGTAAACAATTAGCACCTGAAGATGTCATGATTTCTGAATGAATTAATATTCGTTTCATGGCTGCTTCAACTTGCCAAGCAGTGGGATTATTACTAAAACCACCACGAGCTCGTATTGTGGAAAACAATAGTTCTAAGTGATCTTGTGATAGCTTATAAGTTAAGAGAAATTTCATTTTACCACTTAATACTAAGTCTACCAACAACTGTTTAACACTTTTCAGGCATATAATAAGTCCATTAAATCCTGTTTTTCTAATACTTTTAGTTATTGGCACATGGTCTTTATCTTTTAGACTACTTAAATAACTAATAGAGAAATCTATAAAACTGTTGCATTGTTCAATATTTTTTTCAGACAATGGTCTTTTATACGGTGATTTACTTAAAAAATTTCTTGTGTTCAAGAAATCAAAAATATTATTCATATTTCTACAGAATTCTATAGTACCTTCACAGTTTTCAAATTCTGGTAATTTAAGTGACTTTGAACAGTATGTCAACGCATCAGCAACACTTGAACTTAATATTGAAGCAGCTAACGATACTTTCATTTTTTCCTTGTAATATTGGATGTGACGACGACGAATGTTTGTCCCTATAAAGTTATTAGTTAGTACAAAACTACAAAATACATAAAATAATGTATAAATAAAAAACTAACCAAAATGAAGTCCAGTTTTTTCTTGAAGGCATACAAGCTCCTTAAAAAATTGCCATTTAATTTTTAATCCATTTTTATTATGTATAACTGTATGATCTCCTAATGTATTGCGACATAACTTGATCATATGGGCTGCATCTAACATTATATAAATCTTCTCATTTGTAACTGGATGCAAAAAGTAAGTTTGTGCCTCTAAATCGGCTCCTAATTTTCGAGCCATGGATAGCACCAGTATCATAAACATTTGACAAGCATTTATTTACTAAATTCGATTTCTCCTCAGCTGATATACCATTAATTAGAAAGTATGCAATGGGTATTTTCCAATTCGAATTTAATGCGACTAACATAAATACAAGAATGTCAGAAGCCATTGGTAATGCATCACTTTCATCATTTTTAGTACCCATGTTAACATATCCAATGTTACGAACACCATTAAAATGAACGTCTTTCTTAATACTCATTTCATCCATCATAAGACCACAAAACAATGTTTCATTTTTACTAGCCATAGTTTGTACTTTATTTTTAACTGCTTTTAATGCTTCAGCTAAGAACCCTGGTTTGCCATTTATCACACCATACCATTTTCTTAATGCACTTGGATGTGGTAAACAATTACCAAACGTTTTCCTGACATAATCATAGGCGGCTGCAGAATAGTAATTCAATGTCAGTGCAAATGCACGTAGTTCAGACGAAATAGTTTTTCCAGATTTTAACTTTAGTTGTTTCAATACAATTTCACTGGAAGCAACAGGCAATGAATCCTGAAAATCATAAGGTTGATGGCGGCGTACTTTTTGTATTATCTCTCTGACCCAAGCACCATATTGAACATACCAAATTTTACAATCACAATAATGATTATTGCCTCTGAGATGCCCTAGATAATATTCTTACCTTTTAATTTTATAAGAGGTAATTTCACCCTAATTTTAGAAATTATTATGATTATAATCATTATTGTGAACATACAATTTGCTATGTTGCAAGTAGGCCAGAGAGAGAAAACAAATAGTACACGGACATCCTCTAAGCCCTAAGGTAATCTATTTTTTTTTCTATTCTATTTAATAGTACAATACAGGCATGCGCCCAAACATTTTATACATTTTTTTTTTCTGTTTAATCAACAGCAAAGGAGGTTGTGTGAACTACTCCTCTGCTGTCATCGTTTATTAATAATGTACAAATTCTGCAAAAATAGCATAATACAAACAGTAAACATATTACCCATCGGCCATCACACATGGTACATTAATTCATACAAAAAATAAGTATTAAGAGGACGCTACACTGAAATTTGTTGTCTCTGTCTTACAAGTGCATAACTCCCAGCTCCGTTAGGTTTTTAATTATTTTTAATTTTAAAGCGAGTATTGTGTATTTTGAGATGTACAAACAACTTAAAATTTTAAAATACTAATAACTCGCTCTTAAATTAAAATATAATAAAAAGCCTATGAGATGCTTTAAATTTAATAAGAGGTCAATTTACTTAAACTTTTAAACTAAAGGACCTAAACGTGATCATCTGAGTCTAAAATTTGCTATGTTGTGTATGGGCCAGAGAGAGAAAACAAATAGTGCGCTGACATCCTCTTAATAAAATTGGTCACAAGGGCTAAGATACAACACTCTCTCTTATTTTAAAGAGTTACCTTTAAAACTTCAAAACATTTTTCTGATATAAATTTGTTTTCTTTTAAATGATTTGCCAAGTCATTTAAATTTTTTATTTTCTTAAGAAGTCTACGGTTTTTTTTTTGAGCAGCATTCAATTTTTGTTTGTACATTTTTATGCTCTTAACAGTTGTTCTCCAATAGCAATGTCTTTTCCTTGGACTATCCAAATCGCTTAGTTTAAAGTCCAAAACATAACACATCCTTTTGACTTTTTTGGTGTAAGTGAACGCTTATCTATAAAAAATATTCATAATTTAATTAAATTTGATAAATAATACATAAATACAAATAATTATCTTTACTGATTGTATAAGTGGAATTAGATGAAGAAGTCATGGGTACATTGTTTAAATTATCTAGGTCCTGTGCATTATCCATATTAAAAGTACTTTCTAATGTGTTATTCGCTTCATTTAGAGGTTCACATCCAAGCTCATTACTAACTAAATTAAAATCACTTTTCTTGCTAGGAGTTTGGTCACTGAATTTAGGAAGAGGATAATAATTGATGTCTGGCAATTCATTAACAACCACAATATCATCTTAAAAAAGTAAACAGTTAACAATTTAAATACCTGATATGTTTTTATGTAAAATAATATGTTTATAACTTACAAGGTTCAAAAATTAATGGCACAGCATTTCTATTAAGATTTTTCCTCATCCCATTTGAATCATAATTATAATCAGTTTTATTAAAATGATTTTCACATACAAAATGTGTTTTGTTGAAAGTGTAAATTGGTAAAGCTTTTTTTATTGAAGCTATCCATTGTGACCTTCTACTCTCATTCAACGGAAATCTAAAATTTACAGAATATTATAGTCGATTGCCAAATTACATGATTTTTGTTATATTAATTATTTACCTGTGAAATTTAATACCACAGTTCTTATCTCCTGTTCTTTTGCATGTGGGAATGGCACAATTCCAAACCATTATTAAATAAATAATAAATTAAGTTATGAAACAAGAAATAGAAAGATTATTATTAAAAAATTCCTATTAAAGATATAATATTCAAATATTCAATTCTAATTTCTCATTTTGTGGCATACCGAATTATCGAGCTTCTTATCTATTGTCAAATTAATAATTATCATTAAAATCATGGACAAATATTATTAATTTTTATTTTGTCTTCCATAGGGAATAGTTTTCCTTATCTCATGTTGAGGACACGAATTTCATCTAAAGCGCAGTCCATCTGTTAATAGGTCTATGATGCTTGTACATATTATTTTTTTATTGTGTAATCGTAACACGTACAAGAAAACAAATGAATACAGACTTTACACGCAACACATATAATTTTACATGAACATGGTTCATGTTTCTTAACCAGGTAATTTTGATCTAAAGTTTCAGATGTTACAGACCAAGTGATTTCTGATACTTGATGAATTCCAGAAATATTAATCTGAGCAGCAGCACGATGACGACTATTAATAGCATTTACGTAGTGATTAACTTTTCCACCATTGAAAAGTTTTATTAGTCGTTCAAAGTTTTTACCGATTAATGATTTAAGTAAATGCCAGAGTAACACATCTAGGCGTTGATTTTTCTTCCCCTTTAAGTATACATGTTTTAAAGTTTTATTGAAAGCTTCTAATACCATATTTGTATTAAGCATTACTTGATGTCGATAGCAAGTTGCCCATAACTTTCTCCGATGTACATATGTACGCTCAAAGTATGTTTTAAAATTATGCAATGCTGGTTCCTCTTCTAATTTACAAAGAAAAGAAGTTAAAAGTTCTTCAAACTGAGTTTCATTTGGTTCTTCAAGTAATACACGAAGAGTTGTATAAACGTAAGCTTTTACATTTTGAGAACCAGAATTTTTTTTTAGATTCTTGCGCCTTTTATTGTCAATATGCCACTTACACAACAAACGATGTTGAGGAATAGGCCACATTATGTTAATCCATGCGTTCCAGAATGCTGGCGCATCATCACTCATGAATACATTTGGAGTAAGGCAGCCCATTACCTCCTTAATTTTTGAAAAGAAAACTTTCATATGTATTTCGTCAATTTTTGTGCTTATACAAAATGCAGCAGGGTATCCTTCTCCAAATTCATCAATCACTACAATTGCAGTTAAATTAAAATTTTATTGATTGGTACCATGTGTAGAATCAATACACAATTTCCCATTACTAAATTTATGCAAAACAGCTTTTTGAGTTTCAGTGAGTATTATTAACATAAATCATCTAAGTCTAATGGTGGATATTCTGCTCCTTGTGTTTTATAAAAACAATTGGATTTGAAGAACTATTGGCAAATCGTTGTACTTGAAGGTCCACACTTAGAGCATCAATATCATGTAATTTATACTTGTATAGTAATCCAAACTTAGTGGAAATGTTGTAAACATCTTTCGTAGTTATGATGTTTTTTTTTTTTCAATTTTGTTATCAAAATTGTCCCGGATTTGATCAATAATTAGGAGTTACTCAATTTTTAATTTTATCTGGTAATGAACATGAATAAGTTACGGATAAATAGTAGATATTAAATTAAAATGTAAATAAAATGTTACAGTTTCCAGCAATTGTTTCCTGAACCGAAGAAGGGATTGGGAGAAATTTGATATCATTCTGATGTCCATGATGTATTTTAAAATAAGTGACGTTAACGTTATTATCTGTAACTACTGTTTGAATAAATGAAGGACAGCATTGATCTAATAGTCCAATGAGAAAAACAAAACATTTAATCTCTAAAGATGTCTGTATGATCTATTATTAAGGAAATAAATAGATCTATTTTTACACTTTGTTATAATATCACTTACTTATTTTACACGATCCAGTAATTTTTAAGGAACGTTTTCCCATACTTTTACTATTAAGTACTCCAGAGCGGTGACAATAATACTTCCTTGTAGTTACAGTTTTATTTTTATTAAATTTTACTCCTCTGTGTTGAACAAACCTAGTTGAAGTGTTTATTTCTTCCCTCTCTCTCCAATCATTAAATTCTACAATTAATTAACAAAATATTTAAACATAGTTATCAGACTGTAATAAATATAATATACAATTTATTATAATATTTTTTAAAATTGTATCTTTACCTTGTAATGAAGCAAAATTATGAGAAGTTATTTCTAACTGAGGATTATTTTTCTCAATGCCAGTAAAATGGGTGACTTTTATATGTCGAGCTAAATTATATTTTGTTTTTCATTGGATGTTGCAGTATGCACATTCAAAATACATAATTAAAAAATATATCAAAGAACAATGTGTTAAAATATTTAAAAATATAAAATACAAAAAAACAATTTACTATAATATTTAAGAAACAATGTCCATGCTACAAGGTATTCATACAGAAAGTGTTACATTAATAAGTAAGAAAATTTCCACAGGAAATAAAAATTAATACAGATAACAGTTGAAAAAGGTTTTACCTGTATTAAATAAATACTGTGTATATTACAGTACATAAGTATTTTAGGTAATAATAGACAAAATAAACAAAAATGAAATAAATAAATTTCTTTCATATAGATTATGTTTAAATGAATAAGTATAAAAATTAGAATTTGTTAAAGAATGGCTTAATAAAAATTATTATAATTAAATTATATCAATAATAAATTAATATTGTACATTTTTCAAATAATTTGAATTTAATTTGGCCCTCACTGATAAGGTATTGACCATATTAATTTGTGACCGTGATAATGATTGGTTATGTGATAATGGTTTTGTGATAGAGAAACTGCTCCGAGGGGGCTGTCTCTAGACGCTCGTCCTTGCTACAAGCAGTAGCCGAGTCAGTCATGCGAGTGCGTTCGGACGAGCCGACGACAGTCGCTATACCTACCTAAACCTTTTGTTAATGTTGTTATGGACGTCTCCACAACCGAGTTTGTTCGTTAATAAAGAAATAAGTGGTGTATGAGTTATCACTAATATTTTATGAATATAATCAATTTTAAAAGAAATTTAGTTGTACAGAATACTTATTAGACTTAAGTAATTAACAGAGGTTCTACTCGATGGTCTGCCAGTTCTACACTGCCTATTACACAGACAGCGAGACACGGTAGGGGCTCGATCGGGATCAAAACTGTCCACACAGCGAATTCCCTTAGTCTGTGTGACTCTGCCTGTTCACACATTAATATGCTTACACACTATTCTATATTATACTATTACTATATCTCATACTGCTTATAGCATACAGACAGGGGTTCACAACACCCCCCAGACTACATGAAACATGGGGGTCTAATGATCACCATGTTTCCCCTCATCCATGAGTTCCGATGCTCTGAAGGTTTTTTTGAACTAGTATGGGAGTGTGTGGGTTGCACACACTCTGCTACTTCCGGTCTGTATAGTCGGGGTAGATTACACTTATATTTAATCAATATGTACAGACTTACAACTATTATTAAAATTACAATAATATAAACTATAATAAAATGATGGTCTGGATTTACAAATATTTTGGTATCGTTGTACAATTTAGATAATTCTTTCAGTTTTTCAGCATCTTTAGCTAACTGATTAAAATTTTTGAAATAATTATTAGTATCAATTTGCTCGGGAACATGACTGTTAATTATTTCCGGAATTTTTAATAATGCGTGCAGCTTCGGATTTTCTGGAACGAAATCTCTATGAATTTCTGATGATAGGGTTCTCGATGGTGTTAAGATCAGATTTTCTGTATATATAACGTAATTATAGGAAATTTGAATTTTTCGTGTACCCGTGAGTAGGATTCTGCTAGAGTTTTGTGCGCATGTTACTGTCACTGCCTGCAAAATGCAATAATATAACCACGCGTTTTGAAGATAAAGCTTATGCAGGATTGTACAGTATTACTACAGTATTGAGGTTCATATATTTGAAATTACACGCTCCTATCGTTTGATACGGGGAATTGTACAAAGATACCTCACAGATTTCCTGATGTATAAATTTACTGATAGCCTCAGGATTTACACATGACCTAAAAGAGAACAACGTTTCACATTTTTCATACTTATCGTCGGTTAGACTGAAATGATATTCGTTAGTATCGCTTATTGCCAAGTACTGAGCTTGTGGTTCAATGATTACTATATTACCTTTATTTGTAGGTATCGGAAGTGGAGTATTATGAAACAGATTAAACCGAAGATTTGACAATAAGGGTATACGGGTCACAAATACGAGATTCTGTTGGATGTACACTACGCTTAACTTGGATGTTCGGAATAATTCAGGAATGGATAAATAAGATTCAGTTATAGGTAGCTCTAGTGTAGACGGTAATGTCAGTTGTATTTGCATAAGTTCGTGAATCGATTGAGATAGGGGGTATACATTTGTAAGCATCAATCCATTTAACGCTGAGTTAACAATGGATTGGAGGTTTTGAGTTTCCGAAGCGAATTGGTTTAGAAAAACTGTAAATATTGCAATGTGTTTTGTATTTCCAATACATTGATTGTTGCTACAGAACGCCTGGATTGTTATTCTATTTTGTTTATATTCTCCTGCAATTTCTGATCATCTGCTAATAGTTCATGCATGGTAGAATTAACATTATTCATGACTGAAGAGACTATGCGTATTTGTTCCTGTGATAGATGAACATGTTTATCCTTGGAACGAGCTAGGTCTTCGATGTTTTTGTAAAAGAATTCGGCATCCTGATCAGAGCAAACTCCAAAAAGAATGTTTGCTAGCCTTCCTACTGCATTTATCAACCCGCGAGGTTGTCGATTCGGATTTTCAGAGGTTCTGTGGTTTGACCCAAGAATTCGTAAGACAGAATTGAAATTTGATTCAATTTCTTGCATGAACGGGAACGTGGATTGCATGAAATCCGTAAACACACTAGTTAAGATCGAGTCCTCTCTTTTTTTCAGTTGAATACAAACGTCGCCCATCTGATCATGGAGTTTCTGGAGTATTTGGTACTTCATGTAATAAGTTGTTAGATTCACGTAAGTAATGAAATCCCAATTTGTGTAAGATATGCGAAGAGGTCCCATTACTTCAAAGTATAAGCCTGATGAGTTCTGGAATGAAGTAACTTGAAAACGTCCGCTGTGAGAGTTCGAAAGTCCACAACATATCAGTGAGATTCTGAAACACAATTTAGATTTCATTCATGAAATTTCTTCAAGAGATTTTTGTGCAATTTTACATGTTTATTTTTTTTTTAATATGGTCACATTCGGAGAGTCTGCATTAGTTTCCACGACTGTGAATGGCCCTAACAACTTAGGTGCTAATTTTCCTTTACTTGTTTTTTCTTGCACTATGACTTTTTCACCTTCATTGAGTTTCAAAGGCACAGCTGTACGATCATATCACTCCTGCGATTTCTGTTTCGATTTCATCTGTTGCTCTGTTACCATCTGATGTGTTTCTAGCATAAGACGTTTCATTTCGTACTGGTAGTCTTGGTAGTTATTTTGAGGTTCTGGCTTGCGACTTAGTGAATTTGGTATCGATAACGGATATCCGTACACGACTTCATGTGGTTAAAACCTTGTGGAGGTGTGTACTGAAGAATTATGACAGTTTATTGTATAAGGAACATGTACATCCCAGTTTTGTGGATTTTTTCCAGAGTAGTTCCGCAAATATTCACCAAGGGTTCTATGACTTCTCTCTAAACTACCATAACTCTGAGGATGATACGGAGTAGTTGATGTTTGAGAGATATTTAAGAGTTTGCATACTTCTTTGAAAACCTTACTAAGGAAACAGTTCCACAGTCCGTCACTAGAGATTCAGGTTGACCATGCAGACATACAAATTGGGTAACAAAATGTTGTGCGACGGTGTTTGCCTCATTATCCTTCATGACACACGCCCATGTGAACTTTGAAAAATCATCGATCAAAGTTAAAATATATGAATTTCCGTGGGAAGATTTGTTGGGCGGCCCTACAATGTCAATGAATACTTTTTCGAATGGTTTCGAAGCAGTAGTTGTTATGACCATAGGTTCCTTGATGGTCCGCTTTGGAGTTTTGTTGATTTGACATACAGGACATTTCTTTATGTATTTCCGTATTTGTGGTCTCATGCCCTGCCATTGGTACTGCTGTGCAATTTTATTGTATGTACGCGTTATACCTTGATGTCCCCCAAGTGGATTTTCATGAAATTAATTGATGATCTCTAGTTTGTTATCTGCCGTTAACTCTTCGTGGGTGTATATCTGATTATACACAGGAGAGTCACGGATGATATACCGTAATATATTGCGTACGACTTCCCACTTCAGTCCATCTAGGTCGCAGCCTAGACGTGGACAAGCGAGCTGTGTAACCTTATACTTGACACAGATTAACTTGAGGTTCTGAAGACTTTGAAATAGAATTTCATAACTTGCTTTTTGCCAGAAAAATTCTTTTGTGATTATATAAAACACCTGATAATTGTTCACATTGATTGTTGCAATCTCTGTTATTTGACATTTTTGTCGACGAAGTTCATTAACTTTTCCAAATCGGTTTCGGAATTCGAATGCAATTCCTTTCCTCGATTTAAAATCTGCTGATACACAATGAGCTATTGAGATTCCAGCATCTAAAGAAAACAGATCTCCTGTTCACTCGGCAATGTTCTTCGTAGGACCTAGTTTAGTTTAGTCTGCTTTCAGAAATGCTTGATAACCAGTATCACCTTCGCCCTTAGATTCTGACTCTGGGTGTTCGTTATCTACTGATTGTAAAGAGGTTCCTTGAGTTTCTGGAGGTTCTGACTGATTATGATGACTCGATGAGGTTTGAGCTCTCGTAGTTACCACTTGAATACGACTCAGTGCGTCGGCATTTGTATTATTCACTCCTGGTTTGAAATGAATAGTATACTGGTACTCTTCCAGCTTCAAACGCCATCGAGTTAAACGTGATCCGGGATCTGTAATGTTGAATAACCAAACCAGTGCACGATGGTCCGTTATTATGTTCAAATGTTGTCCAAATAGGTACGGCCTAAATACTTTTATTCCCCATAAAATACTAGTTAGTTCTTTTTCAGTAACATTGTAGTTGATTTCAGCCTTGTTTAGTGTCCGTGATGCGAAAGCTATTGGTAAATCCTTCCCAATATGTCCTTGAGACAGTATACAGCCTATGGCGTAATTGCTTGCATCACACGTTAGATTAAATGACTTCTGGAAATCTGGGTATTGTAGAATCGGAGCTTGAGTGAGGAGGTTCTTCAATGTTTCAAATGATGTCTGACATAAATCGCTCCATCTATAAGGAACGTCCTTTTTTAACAATGAGGTCATTGGCTTCGCGATCTGCCTATAGTTTCTGATGAATCTTCTGTAGTAACCTGATAGTCCTAAAAAAGACTTGACCTCTTTCACATTTCTTGGAATTGGAAATTGTTTCACACAACTTATCTTCTGAGGATCTGGCTTGACTCCTTCGTCAGTGATTTTATGTCCAAGATAATTAACTTCTTTTCGGAGAAATTCACACTTCAGTGGTTGAAGTTTGAGATTGTATTGCCGGAGTTGAAAAATCTCGGTGATTTCCTGTGAATGATCATTTAGATCCTTTGCATAGATGATGATATCATCTAGATATACAAATGCTTTGATTCCATTTATACCGATTAAAACTTTATTCATGAGCCTCTGGAAGGTCCCTGGAGCTAACTTCAAACCAAATGGCATTCGTTCAAATTCGATATGTCCCCGGTCTGTAGAGAACGCCGTTTTTCTACGGTCGGAGGGATTCATCGGAATTTGGTGGTACCCGTGGGCTAGGTCCAAGGTACTGTAATATTTTGACCTTCCTAATTGGTCCATAATATCCACGATATTTGGAAGTGGGAAAGTATCCATTATCGTGACCTCATTCAGTCGGGAAAATCCACGCAGACACGGTATTTAACCTGGCCATTGACGTCGGGTTTCTTCGAGACTACTAGGAGTGGAGCGTTCCAAGGTGATTCACTAGCTGTAATCACACCTTCCCGTTCGAGGGCCTCCATTTGGTCCGTAATTTCCTGTCGATGCCTTTGTGATAAACGGTAGGGTTTTACGTGAATTGGCGATACCGCTTCTGAGGTTTTGATCCTGTGTGTGACCGCTGTAGTTGACGACACTCGATATCCTTCTAAAAAGAATATGTCCGAGTAGTCTTGACAGATGGCCACTAATGATTCCCTTTCTTCAGAATTCAGATGATCCTTTCTAAGTAATTCTTCCAATCTTTTCAGTCGACTACTGCTTGCATGAGGTTATTCTTGTAGATCCGTGACTTGTACCGAATGTATCAGAGCTTCCCTGAACTGCTCGTGCATCAGTTCCTTTAAATTGGGCGTCCTTAGCCTTATTGCTTCTTCGGTTGGGTTGATGAGTGTGGCTAACACCCTTTTGTTTTGTACTTTGGTTACAGAGTTACTGCACATGACTGATTTAGTGACTTCTTGACATACGATGAGGATGATTTCATTTTCTGCGCGATACTCTACTTATATTCCTACGAGGGTTTCAGTGCAGGGTTTTAGCACTAATTCAGCCCCGTCAGGAATGATAACTTCATTAGTCTGATAATTCAGAATAATTTTGTTTTCTACCATAAATGGTCGTCCAAGGATACCATCGTTTGGGATTGGGGATGTAGAATGGATTACTTGGAACATTGCAACTATAATTTTATCCTCGATACATATATCCAGTTGTGTTTGTCCCAGCGTGTGTACTATCTGGTCATTAATGCCCTTCAGGTGATATATGACATCTTCATGCACGATTGTCTGATCCGCGAGAGACGAGATTTTTATTAGATTAAGCTCACTCCCAGAGTCTAAGAGTAGCTTCGATTTTTTGCTGAAGGTCTGTTCAATGTGGCAGGTTAAATTATCGCGATTTAATTCTGCTTTGAAGTAGATGATTTTTCCTTGCCGTTGTTTTTTAACTCGCTCACCGGGCGCCCACCGCTGGCGGCCGGTTGCTGCTGGTTTTCCTGCTAGTTGCCTTCCTTTTTAGAGTTTACATAATTCCTTTTTCGGCAATCTTTCAGCAGGTGTCCTGGTATTTTACAATAGTTGCATTCGATGCTTAATTGGTGCCGTTGTGGAAAAAGATCTTGAGTTTGTCGTTTCCAGTTTGCTCCTGCAATCGTTTGCCATATGACCAACTTTATTACAGTGAAAACAAGTCGGTTTCTTCGTGGATTGGTGTGGCGCTCTATATAACTTCTTTGTCGCTTCTTGTGAGTTTCTGACCCGTTCTTCTTCTCTTGCTGCCTGTATGGCCTTGTCTAACGTTAGCGGATTCCTGGTCTTGATGAAGTCTTTAAGAGGTCCTAGTCCCTCTACGAATACTTCGATGCTTTGCTTCTTGATACTCGCTCCTAGCGCTTGAGCTACCTTCCAACTGTGCCCATTGGTCTCTTGCTCTATGATAAGTGTTTGGAGTTACTCAATCCTATTTGCGTAGTTAGTTACATCTTCTCCGATTTTCTGCCTTATTGAATACAATTCTGAAAATAGATAAGTAGTCGTCCTTGCGGTTCCAATGCAGATTTCAACGCTTCCTTTAGTTGAGGCCAATGTTTTATCTCCTTGAACTTGACTGCCTGACGGGCTTTCCCTGTCAGTCCAACTTGAATACCTTGGAGAAGTCGTGCCTGTACATGGTCATGTGCGCATGCTAACGCAAACTCGCATTTTTCCAAGAATATTTCCAATTCCTCTTGCTTGTCTTCACTGAACGAGCCTGGCATGAGTTTTAGAGCGGCCTCCAGTCCTAGTGTCTCTCCTCTTGATCCGAATGAATATCGTACACCGGATTGATCTGGATTTTCTTCAATTACTTGAGGATTTGATATCGCTTGAGTGTCTGCATTTGATGTTCCTTCAGAATTTACCATGACACTTTGTTGGTTGTTACCGGTAACAACCTGTGTTTGAGCTGTTTCCTGAGTGCCTGGATTCATGGTTTGGTCACTACAGTTAAGGGGAGGGGAGGGTATATTCTGATTTAAAGATTTTCTTCAATTGATTGGTATAGGATATTAAGATTGAGTTGATTTTCGGTATCTACTTCCCCCAAAGTTACTGAGACGTTATGTATTAACTCTGAATTATGGTCTATTAGAACGCCAGTTCTGATAAAGAAGTTATCAGTACTGATGTTCCCAATAGAACGTTCGGATGTCGGATTTTCTGGATTTGAGAATCGTATTGGTAAACTTACACAAGGGGTAGGACTTGGCAGTACTATTGGACTATTTGATTCGTTATCTGAATTTGGGTCTGAATCGTTCTTCCCTGTTCCGCTCATTAACTACTTAGCTACTTGACTGATACTTAACGAATTGTTATTTTTATATATAAAAGTGTTTGTGTTTACATGAAATTGTATATATATGCTAATGCTAACTACGATATTAATATTATATTAATACAATACTACAGATTTACGATTCTGAAGCATACAGAAAGAAATAATAATAATAAGAATAAAAAAAATAGATAGGAAGAAAAACGTACTTATCAATTAGTACGGAGTGTAGAACTAATGATTTATCAAGATATGGTTACAGTTTCTTTTTTTTTCTTATTATTATCAGTTTATTTTTTTTTTTTTTTACTCACAGTATCGCAGTTACAGTGATCCTTGCCATGTTTTTTTTTTATATTTACTGATTTTTTAACACTTCTACGAGATGCTCGGAATGGTCTGCACAGATGTTCTGCTTGGCTTGAATCGAATTCCTTGTCTGTTAACGACGACTTTCCTCTTCGACTGCGCTTGTGGAATCGAAGTTCGCTAGCCCCGAAACTGCTGGCGCGGGGACCACTATACGCTGTAGTGGGTTTCTATGATAATACTAATATAGTATAATTTTATTTCACGCGTGACGCGTCTATGAACACGGCGCACTCGTGTAGTTTATTTATATAAATAACTAGCTGATCCCGTGCACTTCGTTTCCCGTTAAATGTATCAACTCTATATGACTCAAACATTGTTCAATGCGTTATTTAATATTCGGTGTATAATGTTCTAGATTTATCTTAACTTTTCTGTTGCCCGGAATAAAAATTCTGAATTGCAGCAGTACATTATCAGATAGGTAATTTAACTGCGGTAGATCGTCCGCGTGCTCTTTGTACGTAAGTGTATGATTTAACTCAAAAAGTACCAAAGTTATACCAAGTTTGACGTTTTTACTTAATTCCACCTACCTATAAATCCTAACCTAACATAACCGTACTAAAATCCGATGAATAAAAAAAACCAAATTTAACCCTTTTTAAATTAGCGTATCTTCTTCCCATAGGTCTAATCTACCCACCGTCATTCATTTATATATAAGATATATTTACAAAAAATAATAATACAAATCAACAAACATGCCCGATTAACCAATAGCAACCAATATAATATAATACACCATAGAGCAAATAAAGACAACGGTATCGAGTTCAAATCCCAGACATCAATAAATAGTTTTTGCAGTTTTTCTAATTATTCGGTTGACTTTTTAATAATTTTCTTTCGTAAAAACCTTCACCTGGCAATTTAAAAAAAGTCAATCTCATGTTTTTAATTAGTATATGTAGATCACTTCATAAAGAGTGACTGCGTTCTTTCTAATTTCCAAAATTTTACCATAATAAACAATTTTATTAAACTTGATGTTCAGTGTATCTATGTACTTATCTATTTTACTTTACATGGTTATCAAATATTTAAACTATACCAACACATTACAATTAATAATTGAACACATTTATTAATTTTTCTATATCAAATAACAATTTAAGGTCATAAAATATTATGTGTATCTACTAAAATCTACTAAAATATATATATTTACAAAATTATTTTATCCAGAAAATAACAGACATTTTTGTATTATTATAGTATTGGATTATTTTTATTTTTATTTTAATATTAATATTTACGTGTAAAACCATCAAAATTCAAAATTCCAAAATTGTTTAACTTAATAGGTTATTTTTAAATAAACTGAGGAAAATTAAGTTATTTTAACTTTCAATTAAACTAGTTAAGTTCATAAGGTACTGCAGACTAGTTAAGTTAAAAAGTTAAAAAAAAAAATATAACTTTTTAACTAGTTAATGCCAACCTATGGATTTTACGATGTGTATTTTTTAGTAGTACATATTGTACCTAATGTGAAATTTTAAACTTCAGGTATAAGTCTAGCAAATAATAAACAAACGTTTTTTTAGCTTCAGCTTGTAAAGCAAGATGGATAAAAATTCGTGACCTATATCGTAAAATTACAAATAAAAAAAAACTACATCTGGTCAGGCATTTAAAAAAAATCCTAAGTATACATTTGAGGAACAATTAAGTTTTGTTAACACCTTACTTTTAAGAAAGGCCCACAATATCTACTTTTGGTACCGAAGAAAGTGGAACAGAAGGAGAAGGAGAAGAAGAGTATGGATATCAATCCACATCTCAATATTTGAACAAATCAAAACGTCTACAAAAATTCTAAAACCTCTGGAAATCTTAAAAAAACTACGGAAACAGCCTCATCGATGGTGATGAAGTACTTATTGAAAAAAAAAAAGAATGAAGAGAAAAAGACATCCGATCCAGTGGATGCATTTTTATTAGGCATTGGGAGCACAATGAAGACATTCGACCCATATTTTTTAAACTTGGCCAAGTCAAAAATTTTTAATATCGTCCAAGATATAGAAATGCAACAAATTATGAGAAACCAAAACCCGGTACCTCAGTTAAATATTGCACCGAACTACAATGTGCCCCCTATTTGGTCACCTCATAATTATCCACTAATCTGGACCAATATAGAGTTTCATAATTATCAACCACCTTCAGCATATTGGAGCGTGATTCATATAATCCTATATCTGCAGAGCTTTCCAGCACTCATAATGTGAACAATATTATGAACGAGCGTTATTGAACTTTAAATTATTTACTTTTTACCTTTTATAAATTAAAATAATTAATAATAATTTAGTTATTAAAAACAATTTATTGTTATTAAAGTATTATATCAACAACTAAATATTTTTATTACCTACTATTGTTTAAGAATACTGCACTTTCATTCTAATACAATATTTAACAGGAGGACGAGGTGGCCGAGAGGTACAACGCGTCGGCTGCGGCGCAGCCGATCCGGGTTCGATCTTTGGTCACCGGGCGGCATTTTTCTTCGGGCAAGTCACGGTGTCCGGAGAATAAGTGCAACACTATAATCCAACACTCCGGGGTATGGCAGAAACCTACGGGTGCCCCAATATAAATTCTGCCAAACACTCACGTGTTCCTAACCGACCATATCAACTGTCCCTATAGTTGCCTATAGTTGCCTATAGTTGCCGGGATGGCCATAGTTGCCGGGCTTACGATCAATAAAAAAAAAACAAAAAAAAATATTTAACAAACATTCGTTATTTGGTAGGTACTTAACTATTATTACAATATATTATTATCATTTTAATAAATATTTTAAATGACATTTAAATTAATCATGGTTCTTACTTCTTACCTCAATGTAACAGCTAATCGATGTCTGGGTGATATGCATTTCCGGAAGCGTGTAGCTTACCGTTTAATTTCACTTTCAATAGTATTTAGTAGTTTGTTAAAGCTGCACATAGTCATTCAAAAGTATTGATCAAATTTGGATTCATCATCGACCAGCTCTTTGTGTAATGTGACGAATTCGCCTTCAAAAGTACGTTTCTGCCAAGGTGGATGAACCCAAACATTCCTTGTTCGTCTTTTTATTTTAGATTCTGAGTGAAACGATGAATGTATTGATTTTACAATGATGTGTGTTTTTTTATTTTTTTATTTTTTTATTTTTTTTGTATCTGTGTACACGATAAGTAGTCGAAATAATGCTTCGATTTTCGACTTCAGTATCTTGTTCGATTGGAAAGTGAATATCGTTGGTGCATTGGGGAGGTCAAAATTTAAATTTCCCAGTAGTCTTCACAAGCGCCGGGAAAAACAACATAAAAATTAAGGAAAAACGGGAATTTTTACGCAAAATTGATTTTCCAAAAAATCGATTTTGGTTATTGGTGTAACTCTAAAACAAATGAACGTATATACATGAAATTTTCACTGGTTGCTTATATTTGCATTTTCTATACACGATAACATTTTCAAAATATTTTGATTTATTTTGAACTGTTTAGGGACATTTTCATTTTCCATTTTTTTTTAGTTTTTTTTCTAAAAATTTCAATAAAATTTTATTTGTTGGTTGCGAAAGCTTGAAAATTTAATAGAAGGCTCCTAATATGTTGTTTCAAAGGCAGATGAAAAATATTAAAAATCCTTAGTCACAATTTTTTTTTATAAGCATTTAAAGTTCAAAAATTGACAAAATATGGAAAAATCACGAAAATTAGCAAATTATTTTGAGTTAAGAATTCGTAAAAATTTTGCTTTTTAAATCTAAGATTTGAAAATCTAATTCAAGATTACTCATAAGATTGTCTACCTTTATCAAAAAAAAAATTTCTACCGGAAAGTCAAATTAAATTTTTATGAGCGTTTGAAATTCAAATTTTTACAACATTGGATATTCACTCGATTTCTCATGTGGCAATTTCCTTTTTTTGTTGTAATTAAAAAACGAATTACTGTAGATACATGAAAATTTCACTGAATGTTTATATTAGCATTTCCTATACACCCTACAATTTTGAAAATATTTTGACACTTTTTGAGCCGTTTACGGACATTTTCAGTTTTAAATTTTTTTAGTTTTTTTTTTCTATAAATATCAATTAAGTTTTATCTGTTGGGCCAAAAAGTGTAAAAATTTAATACAAGGCTCCTGATATATTGTTACAATATCAGTTGAAAAATATTAAAAATACATAGGCACAATTTTTTTTTATAAGCATTTTAACATCGAATTTTGATAGAATTTTTCAAAATCTCGAAAATTATTAATCATCGTAATTAATAAATTATAAAATGTTCAGTTTTTATAGCTAAGGATTGAAAATTTAAAACAAGATTCCACGTAAGTAGTTAATTCTCTTACCGAAAAATCTAAAAAATATACAATCACAGTTTACTTTTATAGTCATTTTATGTTCAAATTTGGACGAAATTACATATTAAAAAACCTAGTTATTTTGTTGTGATTATATAATATTATTCATGGGTACCTACTTGAAACTTCTAAAGTGTACTATTATATATCTATGATAGTATCAGGGTTTGTTATTGATGTTGATGTATAACATGTTATAAGTACCTAATGGATATTGTGATAATGTGATATGATTAATTTGGAATTTATTATAAGTCAATTTTTTTTTAATACCATAGATATGTATATAATTTGTCTTAAACCTAGACTGACATACCGTCTTCGCTCAGAATCGTTTTTCTTATACAATGATATTGTATCATTGAATTCAAATTTAATAGCATCCATTATACAGTGACCCACTTGTAACCTACTGTACAGCAGAGCGACATCCACTTACCCACCTTTTTAATTCTTCTTCTTCATCTAAAAGTACTGCTATCATCAATAGCTCTTCATGCGAAAAATTGGCCATTATTATATGTTTGTTTTAAACTTTTCTACTAATGTCTGTATACAGGGTGTCTCAAACAGTACTGACATATGGAATAACCTTTTTGGTATTCGATATTTTTTTTTTTTTTTTTTTTTTTGTTTTATTTGTAGACGCTTGCGCTACATGTTTTATATAAAAAAAAATTTTTTACTTTTTTAATTCTGAAAATAAAAAATTTTAAATTTTATAAAAAATGTATTTGAAAAATTCAAAATAGCCAATTTATAAAGCCGATTTTTAGAAAAATTTTGATGGTTCAAATATTTATAAAAGTGTGGCCGTTAATTTTTTACAAATTATTTAGTTTTTGGAAATATGAACAATTTTTTCCTTTATATCATAATAAAATAATCAACAGTCATCACTGATACCCATTTATTTTCCTATCACTATTTATTTTCCTAAGAGTTTTTATCAGTTATCACCATTTACACCGGCAGCCGGCAGCTAATGCACAGAAATAGATAAGAGCATTACTGAGATAATAAAATTACTGGTTAGGTTATAGTAAAAAAAAACTTTTATGTTACTACGTTTAAAAAGGTTTAATAGAATTAATAACAATAATACAATAATGACATACATGCATCAACAATATTTAGTTCAGTAATCAGTTAATTCAGTTGCTACCTAATATCTATTTTAAAAAATTTTCAAAATGCCCACCATCGTTTTCTGTACGTTTGTCATATCGCTCTAATATTGACGATGTGACCGACTTTAACATTTGTGATGTGAATTTTTTACATGCTTTAGTGATGCGCTCTTTTAAATCATTCAGAGAAGTCGACTGTTCTGAATAAACGTTATCTTTTAAGTAACCCCATAAAAAAAAATCTAAAGGAGTTAAATCAGGAGATCGTGGAGGCCATTCCAGTGGACCACGGGTACCTAACCAACTTTTTGGAAAATGCTGGTTCAAGTAATCTATTACTAGAAATTACTTAAATAGTTTAAATTAAAAAAAAATTTTAACCATTCTAATAAATTAAATTCATTAACATTAAATAATTTATAATAATAAATTAACTTAAAATAATTTTCAATCATTTAATAAATTTAAAATAATTTAAAATTTTTCCATCATTTAATTAAATTAAATTAAAATAATATTTAGTTTTAAACTAAATCTTCAATCGTTAAATAAAATAAAATAATTTTATTTTACAATAAATTATCCAATCAGTTAAATAATTTAAATTAATAATTCAATTTTAACTTAACATAATAAATTTAATTTAAAATAAATTTCAATCATTTAAATAAAACAGAAATAGTACTTTGATTTTAAAATAATTTTCAATCATTTGAATAATTTAATTCAACAATTGAATTTAATCATTTAAGTAAATTAAAATAATAATTCTAATAAATTTTAATCGTTTAGTTAAACAATTTAATTGTTCGGGATTTTTAATTTTCATATTCAAAATATAATTTTTCTGATTGATTAATTATAGACATTTGTACCTACTATTTAAATTTATTTAAGCTGAACAATTTCTATTTTACGCATCAGATTATCGAATTCAATCGTGTTGATTATTATAATAATTTGAGTCAATTAATAATTTTATAGAATAATAAAATTATTTTAGGAATAAATATAGTTATTGAAATACAACGGAAATTCAATTCAGTTATTTAGAGAAGAAATAAATTAAAGGCATTGTTTTATTTAATAAATTATTGCAGATAGTAATCAATTTGAGGAAAATTTATTTTATTAATTAATTAACAATTATAGTTGAAATTATTTAAGAAGTTTTCTCTAGTTAACAAATTCCATTCTAGAAGCAATTCATTGAAATAGTTCGTGCTGATTATTATAATAAATTAAGAATTAATTAAGAATAATTTTAAGTAAAAGGGGGTTAATTATTTACTGTTGAATATGTGGTGAATATATATATTGAGAAATTATTGAGAATTTTATTATAGGCCGTGTTGTAAGTCCTTTTGTTATTGAATTTTATTATAGGCCGTGTTGTAAGTCCTTTTTGTGTTATTTGTGTTATTACGACAATTGAAGTCGATATTATTGAATTTTATAGGCTATGCAGACGTGCATTTTAAGTCCTGATATTGTGAATTATTTGAAGACAGTGAGTCTATATTTTGAATTTTATTTTACAAGGCCGGAATAAGTCCTTATGTGTTGAAAAGAGTAGGTTGATTTATAAAGAAAATTTTAATTCAATTAATACAGTAATAAGAGTTACTATTTTAAATAGATGTCGTATTGGCTGATTAATTTGAATTAAGCAAAAAAAATAGAGTAACTAGTTAAATTAAATTTTAATTTTAAATCGTATTGA